TGTATATTGTCGCCCAACACTGAAAAGACTGGAAAGGAAAAAACAAAGTTACAAAGGTACTCACATATCGGTCCCGCTTGTGCCAGAGGTTGAGAAAACGAAAGGGCGAAAGTTTACCAAGGCTATTCAAAACTTACAAAGAACTGATTAAAGGGACGCTAAACTTGCCTTTTATATGCGCGTGGTGACGCTGAAAGGTCCGATTACAAAACCAATAGAAATACAGAAAAACAGATTGGCATTGTTACTATGTGGCTATCTAAGATCATTCTGATTTAGTGAACTAATCAATAATGAATCAAAACTTGAGCCTTCTGGCTAATGTCCTTAACAGTATTCTTTCAAAGTTACAAACCATCAAAAAGATGAAAACTGGTACCAGCCAACTTAACCATGTCAAACGACACAATGATTTTATTGTGTTACGGTATTTTCTCAACCGAGAGAAAGATACAACTCCTATCAACTCAACTACTTTATTAACTGACGCAATTATCTTACTACCGAGCGATACCAATAACCAATACAATAGCTATCCTCTTATCCCAAAGCCATCTATAAAACTATAATCTCAGTGTACTACTGCATAACTCGCGGTTGTCTTCAAAGATCCATGTAACGTATTGATGTTCACTTAACTTTTTTTAACGTAGCCTTTCACACGGCTGACGATTCCAGTAACAGTAAATAACTCCAACAACTTTCTGTAGTCGGGCTCTGTAATAACACTAGCTCCTCTGGGCACTTCGTGACAACACTACCTCACTAACAAAGGTCTGACTTATATGTTTTACAGAATGTCCTAGAACATTCTAGGGATCTGTAAAACAACTATTCTTAGTATCATTACATTACTATTGCATCATAACAAAATATGCTGACTAAGGGTTCTAGAAAGTTCCATTAAAAAAATTCTCAAGGAGTTAGCATGACTAAGCGTTCCAGAAACGTCTTCAGTTCTATTTTTAGGAATTATGTAACACAACGCTCTCCATAACAATTGTGAGACTCAAATTTGACCCTCTTGCTACGAGGTTCAGCTGTACAGTCTGACGTTTTTGTGTAATAGTTAGCGGGGAGGTGTGAGAGGTCCGGCCAGAACTTTCGAAGGTCTTCTAAGATGGAGTGGAAGGCGTGGATATCAGCGATACTCCTAATCAGTTCCGGGTACGGAAATACGCGTTGTCAGTAAGAGGGAAATTAGGTTCGAGGGGCCTAACTTAACCTTTTCTGTTTCTTCTCTGTTAAAAGGGTATTTACTGCTCCATTTTATATCATTACTAGACTTAGATGAATGCCAACATGATCTGAATTATTGTCACAAGCTGGCCACGTGTACAAATCAACGTGGCTCGTACAAGTGCAAGTGTAAAGCAGGATACCCTGGAGATGGATTTGATTGTTATTACAGCTATGCAGGTGAGATGTGTTGAAAAACAACTTGAAATACATTTTTATAGCCCTTTATGCCCAAAAACTTTAGGAACGGAAATATGTTAACTTTAACAAGAAACTGTCGATTAAGCAGGAAGTGAAAGTTTTGGTGTTTGTACTCCGCTCGAGATTTTAACCGAACTCTGGCTTTCTTTTCAAACTTTGATAGGAAAAGAACTGATTTCAAAATCTCCTCTGAGCCTTTTATTTATCTCAAAAAATAATTTTGGAAGATTCTTTTTCATTTTATTTTTGCATACATGAAAAGTGTATTCCGCACGTGATAACTGAGTTAAAAATTCATCGCATTCCTATTGTATTGATTAACATAACTTCGTAGAAGTAGACAAGTTTCCTGTCTCAGGAACCTCAGTAGTTTATGCTCTGCATCATCAACGAATTTTCTTATGTTTAGTTGTTTGCTGGTGTTGTGTCAATGTTCAACATCTTTACACAGTCACATGTAAAAATGTTATGGCAATGAAACAAAAAGGGGGTCAAAGGTGAAATAAACCGTAGGCCCCGTCTCCTGCAGGGTTAGGGGTAGGAGACGTTAATGTCCTCCCCTGGGGTGGGATGGGTGGGTTTACTGGGCCCGTAGTAATTGGCGCAAGCTGTTGCGGTGTCCCTGCCTGTCGGCGAATCTGATAAATTAAAAATTGAAATTAAATTCTTTTTCTCCATGAGACATATGTATGTTGAGATTTTGTAAATGCAGCAAGTTTTTGTTGCTGCAACAAACTGTGGTTTGGTTTCCGTCAATCAACTTGAACGAGTGAGCAGCTCTTGATGATTTCACGGAGGCTTTGAAAGGTCTTTTGAATTGATAGGGTCTAGTTAGGCTTTAGAACTTTTGTCTTGTAAGTTTTTTTTGACGTAGGCCAAAACGCAGTTTCACCTTCAGAGATGTAAAATGCGAGTTTGCAGAATTACGAAAATCGCTATAAACAAAGCAAGATGCATATCGAAAAAAACGCGTTAATTTAGTGTAACATAAATCTTCTTCGCGTTGTCAACATGTATTGTTAATTTCCTATAATAAGGTAGTTTGGAAGGAGTACGAGTCCGTGCTTGGGAAGAGAAATCGCCCCATTAGATCCTGGCAAGAAGGTGATTCTCTCTAATTCCTAGCCACCTGTGGCCTGTTCGAATGCCAGTCCATCACAGATTGTACATATATATTTCTTTGACGGTGAAATCTTTGTTAAATGTTGGAATATGATCAAAAGGTGCAAAAGTTACCACCACCACCCCTCCCTTCCACACAC